AAGTTGATGTTGTGGTTCATACATTGTTGTGTTATAACTATGATTTTGATGTGAATTGTTGTAGTACCCAGAATTATGATCTTGATAACCGGAATTATAACTATTATATCCACTATAATGCGATGGTTGATTGTTATATGATGTATAAGTATCGTTTATTCTTGAAGGTGGCTCGTATTGATTATGGTAACTATGATGTGTATGATGTCCTGTGGTGCCTCTTTCTCGTGACAAAGTTCTGTAATACTCTTTTTTCAAAGGCCTCGATAAATTATCACCTGAAAATGCACTACCATCATCATTGGGTACCCTTGATGATCTCATTTGATTACAATCATCGCCAAAGTGTCCGTTCAACCCACAATTGTAACAATAAACAGAAGCCATAGATATGGATTCGTTCTCAACGTTGTTCGAAGATTTCAGTACATATGACCTCCACACAGTTGGACAGTCTCCTTCAGTATGAGTCTTTGCATTACAAATGTGACAAACTATTTTTTTCCATTTCTGAGGACAATGGGTTCTGTAATGGCCATAACCTTGGCAAATAGTGCAGTGTATTGATTTATTACAGTTTTGAGAATCATGGTCGTCTATTTGACCACAAAATTTACAAATTTTATGAGGACAGTTTATTTTGAAGTGACCTTTCTCTTGACAATTATTACATCTTGGCTCGTCATTAATCAATTCACCCATTTGCTCCAAGACACCAAAATACCTTCCCTCACCACGAACAGTACGCAATTCATCGAGATCATCGTTGTTGCCGTTTCCAGTGTGTTCCGTATTTTTGTCATCCATAATGGCAGGTTCAACAGCCTCTGTCATTATAAAGTGGTTGTAATTGTAGTTGTAGTTGTAGTTGTAGTTGTAGTTGTTGGTAGTTACAGAGAGAGATAGAAACGATGAAAGCAGGTATACACGCAAACTAACAGAAATAGAAAGTTACGCTTTACAAGAGTACTGTTGGAAGTTCAAATGATGGGCTATCGAGTGTCTATACTGCCTGCAGAGGAGATACACATGTATAGTGTTGCAGATGGGATAGAAGTTGAAGTTGTTTTTAAATCAAAATTTCATATTTAAATTTCCATGTTTTGCATCTTCGTGAAGTGATGATGATGATATCTTGATGGTTTGTAATTCGAATTCGAAAAGCGAAGAGAAGAGAAGAGAAAAAATAAATGCAGAGGTCACGTGAAACACACATGTTCAACGAAACAAAAACACAACACGTGATACATACCGAAAAAGAAAAAACAATCAAAAATAAAAAAAGAGCAAAAAAAGAAACGAAAATTGGAACCACGTCGAACATCTCAAAAATTTTTCATTCAAACAGTACAACAACCACTTCAGCAAGCAAGAACTAAGAGCAACAGCAACAGCAACAATTATGATATGACATTGATATCGACATTGACATTGATATCTTACACATCTTACGTATTCATTCCTTGCTTTAAATCTATTGTCTTTAAAGATTTCGTTAGCTTTACTAATAAATATATATATAAATATTTAGTAGTATTTCCAAGATTGAATTCTTTGTATAAGAGTTGGATCTCTCTTGTTTCTGGAACTCTTAATCTTGTTTGAGTAAAGTTGGTTAAAAGACTGCTGCTAGATCATAGTAATTGGTTATAATGACTGCTGAAGCTGCTGCTGAACAAGTCAAGAACTTGTCTATCAAGGACGAGAACAACAAGAAGAACAAGAATAACAAGAAATCTAAGCAACAATCGCTATACGTCGATCCAGAACCTAAATTCATTGCTGAAAGAGATGCTCTGTTTTTGAAGTTGCAAAATGAATATAATGACAAGGTCTCTTCAATGCCTCGTGTACCATTGAAGGTTATCTTGAAAGACGGTGCTCAAGTCGATGCTACCTCTTGGGAAACCTCTCCAATGGACATCGCTAGAAACATCTCCAAATCTTTGCCTGATAGATTGTGTATTGCCAAAGTTAATGGGGATCTATGGGATTTAGAAAGACCTTTGGAAGGTAATGAAAATGATGAAATTAAATTGGAATTGTTGGATTTCGAAAGTGACGAAGGTAAAAGAGTATTCTGGCATTCTTCTGCTCACGTCTTGGGTGAAGCCTGTGAATGTAACTTGGGTGCTCACATCAACTACGGTCCACCAACTGAAGATGGTTTCTTCTACGAATTCGCCGCAAGAGACTCTTTGAAAGATCCAAAGGAATGTGAAGAAAGAACTGTTTCTCAAGCTGATTTCCCAAACTTGGAAGGTGTCGCTAAAAATGTCATTAAGGAAAAGCAAAAATTCGAAAGATTAGTTATGTCAAAGGAAGATTTGTTAGAAATGTTCAAGTACTCCAAATATAAAACTTATTTGGTTGAAACCAAAATCCCTGATGGTACCTCTACCACCGTTTACAAGTGTGGTAAATTGATCGATTTATGTGTCGGTCCTCATATTCCACACACTGGTCGTATCAAGGCTTTCAAATTGTTGAAGAACTCTGCTTGTTACTTCTTAGGTGATGCTACCAACGAATCTCTACAAAGAGTCTATGGTATCTCCTTCCCAGACAAAAAGTTAATGGATGCTCATTTGAAATTCTTGGAAGAAGCCGCTAAGAGAGATCACAGAAGATTAGGTAAAGAACAAGAATTATTCTTATTCAATGAAATGTCCCCAGGTTCCTGTTTCTGGTTACCTCATGGTACAAGAATCTATAGTACTTTAGTCGATATGATGAGAACTGAATACCGTAAGAGAGGTTACGAAGAAGTTATTACTCCAAACATGTACAACTCCAAATTATGGGAAACCTCTGGTCACTGGGCCAACTATAAGGAAAACATGTTCACCTTCGAAGTCGAAAAGGAAACCTATGGTTTGAAACCAATGAACTGTCCAGGTCACTGTTTGATGTTTAAGTCTAGAGAACGTTCTTACAGAGAATTGCCATGGAGAGTTGCTGATTTTGGTGTTATTCACAGAAACGAATACTCTGGTGCTTTATCTGGTTTGACCAGAGTTAGAAGATTCCAACAAGATGATGCTCATATCTTCTGTACTCAAGACCAAATTGAAGGCGAAATTGAAAACATTTTCAACTTCTTACAATTTGTCTATGGTGTATTTGGTTTCGAATTCAAGATGGAATTGTCTACTAGACCAGAAAAGTATGTCGGGGAATTAGAAACCTGGAACAACGCTGAAGCTAAATTACAATCTGCTTTAGAAAAATGGGGTGGTGACTGGGAATTAAACCCTGGTGATGGTGCTTTCTACGGTCCAAAGATCGATATCATGATCTCTGATGCTTTGAAGAGATGGCATCAATGTGCTACTATCCAATTAGATTTCCAATTGCCAAATAGATTTGAATTGGAATTCAAAGCTAAGGATAACCAAGAAAATGAAAACTATGAAAGACCTGTTATGATCCACAGAGCTATCTTGGGTTCTGTTGAAAGAATGACTGCTATTTTGACTGAACATTTCGCTGGTAAATGGCCATTCTGGTTATCTCCACGTCAAGTATTAGTTGTACCAGTTGGTGTTAAGTACCAAGAATATGCACAAGAGGTACGTGATAAGTTGCATGCTGCTGGTTTCTATGCTGACGTCGATCTATCCGGTAACACTTTACAAAAGAAGGTCAGAACTGGTCAATTATTGAAGTACAACTTCATTTTCATCGTTGGTGAAGATGAATTGACCAACAAAACCGTTAACATCAGAAACAGAGATATTGTTGAACAACAAGGTAAGAATGCTGCCATTGCCTTGGATCTTGTCGTCGAACAATTATCCAGTTTGAAGCAAGAAAAGAGAAACGACAATGCTTTAGTATAATTAACCTTCGCAATAAACCAATAATTATAGTTTGATCTCAAGCACGTTCACCCTTATGTTTAAATAATAACTAAATATTTAAAATATATTTATATCTAGTTCAAATAAATAGAGCCATATCTAGATGGCATGTTATTTCGAAGACTCAACCAAATAAAAAGAGAATAGAACACATAACTATACTGAACCCTTATCCCCCTACAGCCATTGGTTGTGTTTAACTGCATAAACAGAACAGCTATGTTCCAAGATTTCTTTCCCCCAAGACAGCAAATTTTACCTGAAATAATTCAGTTTTCACCCAAATCTCATCATAAAACTTTCCAGAAAACTGGGAAATCCAACACTGTTAACTTTATAGTATACATTCACATCATTCTAGTCATCATAGCAATCACCATAACCTTCTTAAATCAGACTTTTCATTCCCTTGACCAGTGTCTTTTAAATCAAAATCCCATCGAAAAATTTCGTTAAGGCCTTAAACCGAAATTTAACAAAAATTGAAACTTCATAGTTTAACATGAATTATAAGAGAATGATAAAGATTAGTTTAATTGTTTAATTGTAATAGATCTGATAAGGAACATCAGGGCCCAGGAGGTGTATTTAGTGTTTAAAGTTGTAGATATGGATTATTTCAGTGTTAAACAAAGTTACTATACTGGTAATTTCGCTCAAGTTTTGAAAGAAATTGTCAAACAAGAGGATCAAACAGATGCCACGTTGTTGTTTTATAAAGCTAGAGCTCTATTGGCGTTGGGTAAGTATGAATCTCAAGCTAGTTCAGGTGCTTTTGGTAAAGTATTTGATGCTTACACAGAGTTTTTGAAGAGTAAGAATGCTAGCAAATTAGAAAAATTAGTTGTTAAGGATGATTCTACTCCTTTTGAATTGTTCTTGATAGCTGCTGCTAAGGCTATATTAGGTGACTATGAATCAAGTTTAAATCTATGTGTTCAAGGTATCGATAGTGATGTTGTTGTTGGTAGTGCTGAACTACTGTTGTTAGCTATTGAAGTAGCTTTATTGAACAGTCAATCAAATGTCGCTGTTACCATGTTTGAAAATTATACCAATGCCAATGGCAATGAAATCTCTAGTGAAGACGAGTTGATCATTAACATAGCGGAATCATACATCAAATTTGCCACTAATAAAGACACTACTACTTCTAATTACTATCAATTCGAAGAATTGGCCCAGAGTTTCCCAACTTGGAAAACCCAATTAAGTTTGTTGAATTCACATTTACAACAGGGCAATATAGATCAAGCAGAAGAGATCGTAAACACCCTAGAATCAGATTACTACAGCGTCGAACAAAAAGAATCTGCAGAATTGTACAATCCACATTTCTTGGCTAGTAAGATTACTTTATCAATCATGCAAGGCAGTGCCAATACCGATGAATTAAGAAATGAATTAACTAAACTAGCTCCAACCCATTCCTACTCCCAAAACAACAAGGAAATAAACACAAAATTCAACGAACTAGTAGCAAAGTACTCTTCATAATCATATTAATACCTTTATATAGTTGTATATATATACAATATACAATTTATTACTTGTTATTACATCCATTGTAGTTGTCATACGTTATTATGTTCTTGAAAACATGGTCACGTGGCACTTTTTTCACATAGATATCTCTTCAACATAGAAGTCTGACTGTTGTATATAAGAATGATGTGTTGATAAAGTTTTACGTTCCAATGGGTTAATTAAGGGCTATTTAGGGCAATCAAGTTGTCAAATTATCTTTAAAGTTCAATACTTGGTACTGTGGTATAATTTGTGTTGAAACTAGACAGTTTTTTGAAGAATCTAGGGTTTTTTTTGGAATAAAAATAGTTTTTTGGTCGAGTACATTTGAAGATGAGCAGTGAACTTAGTGAAACTGAAAAGAGAAAGCTTATCAGGGAAAGGAGACAGAAAAAGTTCAGTAATGGAGGTGCTAGTGCTAGACTGAATAGAATTACTGGTCAAGCTGAAAACTCACAATTAGATACAGAATCTCCATTGGATAGCAAATCATCAAGGGAAACAACACCAACCGTCACTAAAGTTGATTCAAATACAGAGGAAATGGATGAATTATTAGAAAATATAGCTACCAGTCCTTCAAATAAAGTTGAGAAAAGTCAAAAGAAAAAGGAACAAGCTACTTCTCCTCAGGAAACCATAGATCCAGAACTTGAGATTTTTAAACAATTAGCAGAGAATCAACAAAATGATGTATCCACTCCAGATTTGTTCTCTATGTTACGTTCAATGAAGGATAATATGGCAAAATCTGCTGCCACTGATACAAATCCACCATTGGAACCTGTGGACCAGCAATTATTAGATTACAATAATTATCTAATCAATAATTTGAAAGTTTGGTCAATTATCTTTAAATGGTGTTTTTTCCTAATACCATATTTATTTGCCCTTACCAGATCTGAACCAATTTCATTTTTACCTGAACAGTTCTCGAATCCATCAAACTTCTTTATGATTTTTCTGTCTTTTGAAATTGTTGCTACTTCTATCTACTTCCAAAAATTACAAAACATTGAAAAGTCAAATAAAATCAATGGTTTCCAAAGTAATAATAAGATCGTAAACTTAGTTTCACTAATTCCAGAAGGTGTATTGCCAGTTCCAGATATCAAGGGTAAAGTCATTATGGCTTTGCAATATTGGGATGTCTTTTCCATGTTCTTAACAGATATTTGCTTTGTTCTAGTTATGATGGGTTTATTCAAATTAATCTAATCGCATTTTTAGTAGTATATTATTCGATCTTTATATATTTATATGCTACTTTGTATATACTTATGTATATGAATCTTTATCACTAATAAAATAAATTAAAATATTACCTGGATTCTTATTTTCTATCTCCTTTTATGACATCCAAATAAAATAAGCTTTTTTGAGTCTTAGATATTACTGACGGTTTATACTTTGAATCATAATCTTTAATATAATAACCTAATCGATATCTTATGCGATGTTTCATTTAAACGGTCATAAATATCTTTAATATCACTTTGATTTACATTTGAAATATCCGCCATTAGATAAGCAATTTCACCATTAGAATCTGAAAATTGCTTTTCGATATTATGATCTGATAGAACGTTATTAACAGTTTTTAAAACACCAGGAACATTTTTATGGATATATAATACACGAACAATATTCTCTTGATCATAATCTAATGATCTTAATGAAACTTCAGGGAAATTCACAGCGCCAACAGAGTTACCTTCGTTTATATATTTTGTTAGGTAAGCAGCAACTTCAATTCCAATGGCACTTTGTGCTTCTTCAGTAGAACCACCAATATGTGGAGTTAAAATAAAGTTTCTCATAGAAACCAAATCTGAAGTCCATGAATTCAATTGGTTTGAAAAGGCTCCTGAACCATTCTTTGCAGGCTCATTTGGATAGACATCTAATGCTGCACCTGCAATTTTCCCAGCTTTACTGGCGGCAATTAAAGAAGGAATATCAACAATAGTTCCTCTCGAGGCATTGATTAGATAGGAGCCATCCTTCATAGCTGCAAATTGTGGTCCAGATATTAAATTTTTGGTTTCTGGAGTTTCGGGAACATGTAATGAGACAAAGTCAGAATTATTTAAAAGTTCATTTAAGGTTGAAACTTGTTTAGCAGTACCCAAACCCATAATCGTAACAATATCGTAATACAAAACATGTAAACCCATTGATTCAGCCAAAACAGATAGTTGGGAACCAATATGACCGTAACCAATAATACCCAATGTTTTGCCCCTTATTTCCCAGCATTTTGATGACACTTTATTCCACGTACCTGTGTGTAGTTCAATAGATCTGTCACCAATCTGTCTTGCCAAAGAAATAATCTCTCCAATAACTAATTCAGCAACAGATCTAGAATTAGAAAATGGCGAATTGAATACAGCAACACCCATATTAGCAGCATAGTCCAAATCTACTTGGTTAGTACCAATACAGAAACAACCAATTACTGACAGGTTTTCAGCATGTTTCAGTATCTTTTCTGTCAACTTGGTTTTTGATCTAATCCCAATAGCATGAACATCCTTAATTTTCTTAATCAGTTCTTCCTCTGGCAATGAAGATTTATGAAATTCCACTTGGTAACCTTGATCTTCAAAAATTTCAATTGCTGTAGCATTCACATTTTCCAATAAAAGGATTCTTATGTCACCAGTAGAAAAAGGTTTTAAAGCCTTTGACAATTTGGCTGAAGTGATTCTAGCTGGTAAAGTATTCATGAAAGACTGGGTTGGCGATGTAGAAACTGCACCTGGAGAGATCGATAGATTGACAGCATGGTGAAAAGAATTCTGCAAATTGTTTATATCAATACTATTCATTTTATTAGCTTATGTTTTCTATTTTGTTGTTATTCAATATTGGTTCAACAATACTAATACCTATACCACTGTATTTTGTCCTGCTTTATTGATTTTATATTCAAAGAACTAAAAATTTAAAATAAATCATTTATGTCCTTCTTTCCATTGTTTCTTGCTTTATTCTTATCTTCTTTTTATACCCACCTCATATTTTAATGGAGTCGCGCACATATAAATGACTAAGAAATAATCACCATAGCGGGTCAATCAGAGTTTTCTTGCAAAAACCTGTGGTATGATGTAATCACAAATGAAATGCTTATCCTCAGAATTCTAATTCAGGCATTTCGGAACTGATAATAGAAGTTAAGAACTGCACGTGAAATTTTGTTAGTAGCCTCTTTTTTGTATTATAATTGATAAAGGCATTGCGATGAAATATTACAAATATATTCAATTTCATTAGGGTACAAATTTGGTAGGCATAAAAGATATTGCTACTATCTTTTAGGGGGAGGTATACGAGCAAGGAACAGAAAGAAATGTGAAATTTTATCATGGACGAACTTATTCAATAAGGGATTCATCGATCTCTGCAGAGGAGGAAAGTGAAATCCATAGTTGTTTCAGTTGACCCAAAAATGATTCATTAACCAATTTTGCAAATTGAAAAGATTTTTCACAGTAACTAACTCCTAGCATTTTTTGATCCTTCATAATCGCAGTGACACCTTGGTTCCAACATAATGTAGATATCATTTCAATATTTTGGTTCGAGGATTCATGTATTTCCTTCCAAGTTGAATTATTTCTCTTTATTCTGGCGTATAATCTCTCTAATATCGAAATATTGATACTTTGTTCCAAAGTCTGTTTGAAAGACAATAAATTCTTCACCCATAAAATTATCTGTTCATCTGGTAGGGAAAAATTGGAAATATTTCTGTCAATGACAGTTTCTAAAATATCAACCAAGATACCCTTTGGGAACTCTGACATAGAAAGGGGAATAGTGATTAAATATGTCTCTAACCTCTTATCATCGTATTTCTCTGTTGCATTAACTATTGCCATAATTTTATTCCTATCGTTAGTTTTTAATATTGTTTCGTAGGATATACTAAAGATATCAACGATGCATTGATCTAATTTCTCAATTTTTTCCGTGTCTAGGAGGTTTTGGATGTGGCTGTCCTTCTTTTTTAGCAATATTTCATTTATTATTTGATTTGATTTATCTTGAATATTTTCTAAGCCTTGGCTGCTTAATCCAGATTCTTTGCTCATAATCACAAGTTTTAGTATTTCAGTTCTAAAGTTCCAAAATAAAAAGTGGAACCTCTTTGGGAAACTAATGTCTTCAGTCGGTAGCAATCTTAAGAAATCAGACGCTAGTTGAATAATATTTAGAGGATTAACCGAAAGTTCCTCTGAAATACATTTCACAGAAATATTGTATGCAGTTGATGCAAACCATTCGATTTCATTTATGGAAATAATATCTGTTGGTGATTTTTCTTCAGAACCTATTCCAAGTTTATTGGATAACTTGATCCTTTCCAGATAACTGTATGATTTTTGAAGAAGATTAATTAACGTCGGAAAATAATATAAGAAAGCGTCAGTCCCTGAATCTTCTGATAATTTCATAATCAACTGGATTGTGTACCTGGAGAGACTCAGGGTTGGAATTGTTACCGCATGGACTTTAGCATCTGACTGATGCTCATTTTCAATCTTTGTGAATAAAAGATTTAGCGCATTTACTGTGAGATCTGTGTTTTCTTTACATTGTGAAACTGCCAAAATCAGTGTTTCTAACGAATTTTCATATGGGGCTGATTGTATTGCCTCCAAATACTTAATTGATTGGTCATAATTTTTTTCCTCTATCGAAACTTTGAGTATTAACAGCAAACTTAGTGGCGATTCTTTATCTTGCGGACTCATTAGATCATACGTATATTTGGCATTTTCGTAGTTATCGATTTTAATATAACAATTTATTAAAGCTCTTTGTAACTTTGCCTTATCCACATATCCTTTGCTGAAAATATCAAGAAGTCCAATGGTATATAAATCAATTGCTTGCTGATAATTGTTAGTTTTTTCCATATTTTTACCAGAATTCCAAATTAGAGTGATTATTGCAGAAACAGTGCTTATTGAAATATCTTTGGTGATAAGTCTCTCGAGTTGGGAATTAAATTCCTTTAAACTTTCAATTACTTCACGCTCAGTCATGCTTTTCGACTGTGTCGTAGTATAAAATCTAGTAATTAGAATTTTCTCCAAAAGGTTGTGGTCAGTTTGAGGGTCAATTTTATTAAATAATAAATAATCCAGGCAAATGTTTCCAGATTTTGTCGAATTTTCTGATAAGCTGTTTATACATCTTAGAACTAAATCTAAATTTTCTGAAGTATTTACAGATACAATCATCTGCATTATATTTTCTTGAATCAAATCATTTATACTATTTGGATTGTTCTGTTTTTTCATATATTCAATGGCAAGTGTATAGCACTCGACTTTTTTTGGGAATTCAGACTTTAAAATAGCAATATATTTGTCACAGTCATTGGAGAAAGATTCTGAATCCAGCGTCACTATTAAATTTTTCGTCAAGAGAGTTAGAACTGAGAATTTTATTCCCATATAATTAGAATGGCTTTGAAGACCTTCAATGTCTAAGTCTAAGTATCTTAAGATATTTTTCAGTAAATCGCTGGAATTTTTAATGTCCGTGGGATCATTTCCATCTTTTGACTGTACTTGTAATTCCAGTGTTGAATTGTAAACAATTCTGCAAATTTCTAAAAGTAAAGGTGAGTTTAATATGTCAATGTTCTTTTCAATTTCTGCCCTCGCATCATACATTTTAGCCATTTTTAAATCGCCATCTTTTAAAGTTATTTGCAAGCAAAGAACAAAATATTCTAATTTCAGTTTCCTGAATTGAATAGCAGCTTCTTGATCAAAATTATCAAATTTTTCTTCCAAAATTCCAAGCAGTTTATCTGCATGTTCTTGAATTCTCTGAATAAACGCCTTATGAGATCCTTTTAGGTCAACTATTACTTTTAGAATAATAATATAGCACTTAAATGATCTCAATTTTCTCTCATCTGAGGGATTCAAAGCTTCATGTATAGAAAGAAGCAAAGTAGCAAATAACTGACTTCTCACCAAAATAATTTTTCTATTAATATCCTTCTCCGTCCTAATAATAACAGCTATATGATTCCATAGGGTTGATGAATTGCTCTCCAACTTCAAAGTAAGATCATCACTTATCAAAACTTTACTTGATCTAAAAGACCTGTCGTATTTTTCTGCCAGTGGATACAAAGCATTTAATTTTGTTTCGATATCCAATACCACATTTGAAGAAGTGCCATTTAGTTTCTGGGCTATCCATACAGTGGCATCACAAAATTCTAATAAAGAAGAATCAAAAGTCGAAATTATTTCAGACATGATGATTCCCAAATTCAATTCCTATATGATTCTACCCGTTATTGCTATACCTTATAACTACCAAAAACAATACAATTTGGAGAATGAATCTATTCTATATTTTACAAAACCATTCCCCTTTATATATCCCGAATATTTAAGTTCGAGATTGGCTTGGGGAGATAGAAAAAGAAAATGGTGAAAAAGCATTAGCCGCCAACGTTGATAAACTATATAAAAACATTCAAGTTTAGTAGATAATATATCTACAGTCTGTAGAACAATATATGCCATTATATAAATAGATACCAGTTGTTTTAATCATAATGCCATTTATTGATACAAGTCTACTTATTTATTTATTTATTTATTTATTTATTTATTTATTTATTTATTTAATTAAACCTAAAAATTATGAACATAAGAATAAAATGTAAAACAATGTTGGTTCCTTGAATAAATGATACTGTTTTCAAAACGGTTTTTATTTACTGATGTTAGTTTTTAGCTTCAATGGCTGAACTTTCTTAAAAGGCTAACTCCTTTGATATATGCAGCGCCCAATTATTTATATGTTAGGGTTAATTCCTTGAACTAATGATGCTTGCAATACTGATATTATCATCAGATTCGATGTCTCTAGCATTATCCTGCGTTCTAGAAAGAGGGATAAGCTGATGCTGTTCCAGATTTCTTTTAATTCTCTGTCTATTAAGGTCAGTATTTTGTAAGGATGAGGTGGAATAGTTATTAAATTCTACTATAGGGAGAGTGCCACCTTTTGTATTCATTTTACTATAAATTTGACTTCTATTCAATAAAGACATTTTCTCTTGTAATGTCATTGGTTTAGAATCTAGCTTCCCCAGGGATAGAGGTGATACGACCCCAGTTATATCCTTTTCTATTGCTCTGGCACGTTGTGATAATGGAGTTGAAGGCCTTGACGATATGAGTGCACGTCTCCCACATATCAACTGCTCTGAATTGCAATGTTGCATGTCCTCTGCATCGTCTAGATAATCATAGCATTCACTTCCTGAGATTAATGATAAATTTGATTGAACAGCTTCCCTAGGTAAAGATATCGATCTCTCTAAATTAAGAGTGCTGCCATCAAACAAAGTTCTTGTTGAGATGTTATCAAGAGTATTTTCGGTGCCAATTGAATAATCATAAAGTGAAACTACAGAAGACATTTTTTAATGACTTATTTTTAGCTTCTAATGTTATTTTAATCTTAAAACTATTTTATATCCATATTATAAATAGTAACAATATTATAATTAGTAATGGTTATAAACGTTTGTTCAAGTTTTTTCTATAATATCCATGAAGTTATGGAAGAAATTATCTATATACTGTATTATTATATAGTTCGAGAAATAGTGGATTAAAGTCAAGTTAGTAATCATTTAAAATACTTAAATATGCACATGTTCGACATGATTCAATTCAAGTTTTGAGAAATTACTAAAGAAGGAAAGAAAATTTCCAATTGAAATGAAATGAAATGTGTTTCAACCAGCAATAAGAAGATACTACTCTACTAATCATCGAAGGTCTACCTTTCTTGTATTTCCCACTTTGTCCACTCACTGATGGTCTGGCTCTTTGACAACTATTTCTCCTATATTGCAAAATTTGCATTCGCACACTGTTTCTTCAAACTATTAAGGAAAAGTAACCCACCATGAGGAAATAAAACTGAAAAAGGAGCGAAAGTGTAAGTGCAAATTGTCAATATTGTATCGTACAAATATTCTTCAAGACGAAATTTCCAACCTCAATATAATAATCTACATTATATGGGGAATTAGCTACAGAGAATCAAGAACTTATCGATTGTTGGCTGTATATTGGTTTCCCATTCCCTCCCTTTATGACCTGGAGTTAGTAGGCTAGTTACAACTCAGCGTTTAAAGGTATATTGTCCCTTTTTGTTTCTCTTGCAACTCTGATTTGTACTCTCAGGATAAGTCAGGCAAATTCTACTTAATTCATGTTTCCTATTTCTTGGAAAAGGTACTAGTCAATCGAGGGAATAACCTCAAATCTAGGTGAACCAGCATCTTTTGGAAATTTTCAATCTTGAAGTTTAAAGTTTAAAGTTTAAAGTAATGTGTGTGTGTCTGTGTGTTTTCAAGATTAGGTTAGTTTCAACATTTTAAAGCCTTAATACTTTCTTTATTTTATTATTGTGTTTTTATGCTTGGTTGTTATTCATCCAGTCATTTAAAGTGACTCATGTTTAGTAACAGATGTTCTCTCTGGTTCATCCATGCATTTTGAAATTGCTTGGTTGCTCATGAGGTAGCGCCGTTGTGCCTGACTAACGAAATAGCCATGATCTGAAAGTTGATGTAACTATGTAATTGACTAAAAAGGAAACTGTTCCGATAACTGACATTCTTCAATGAAAAGAAAAGACGATGGCTGTTTCGAAAAGAGGAGATGGGATGTACCTGGTAAGTTACTTTTACCTGCGAAATTTTTGGTATTAAGGTACTTGATGAGCCAGTAGTCAAACATTTGGTATGTTATGATCGGCTTTTTACTGACTTACAGATATATCTTAATTATTTGAATTTGATTAGAAACTGATTCCCCCCATTATTCGACCAGATTATATCTTGACACTTTATTTTTTGGTAAGCAAAGTGTACAACATTGGCTAGGTAGGCTTAGTGTATCCTAGGGTGGTCATTCAAACAAGCAATATTTAAAAAAGTATGGTGGATTTATTAAACTCTCAGGTTGTTTAGCTGTGCATCCATTTATCTTTAGATATTTTCCGGATTAACTGATGACACAGGGAATGGTTGAAGATAAACCCTATTGAAAATCCTTGAACTCTTATGATACGGCCCCGTTATGAATTAGTTTAGCTTTTTCCCAGAGACACTCATGTTCTGCATTGTCAAGTAACTTTAGATTTCAAATTTTTAAAAAAAAAATAAACAGCTAGTCCTGGTTAAAAGGTTGGGTTTCTTAAAGGTTTGTCACAATTTGCTCACCTGACGGCACATTTTTAATCTAGAGTCAACAAGTTTTCAAACAAACGTCCATCCTGAGCATTATGCATATGTGCATCCTAGCAAATATGAATAAGGTAAATGATTTATATGTACGTACATACACTCACATATCTCAGTGTGTATGTGTGTTTTAATTCTTCAGCTACTGATGATCTGATCTTACTAGTGATTCTATATGATAATGAGTGACAGACGCTACCAACATTTCTGAAAATACATCATGTGACTTGTTATCACGTGATAACCATTTTATATTTTGTTTTGTTTTGGGCGGCTAATTTGTTTTCACTCTTCTTTAAACCTTTATTTGTTTATTTTCTTTGTAGATTAAGATATTTGGAAAGGTATAAAAAGGAAAGGAACATTTTAGTAATCTGAATATTCTTCTTCATCCTTTTACTTTACTAGATGTGGGTATTGTTGTTTTGACGTTTATTTCAATATTTGTACTATCGTACATCTCAGTAGAATAGAAAACTCAAAAGATATATTTCCAGGAATTATGGCTACTAAGCAACAAGTACTTACTAAAACTGCAACTTCGACTGAAATCTCTAGCGAGCAATCGCAGAAACTCATCCAAACAATGTTGACTATGTCATTTGGTTGTTTGGCGTTTCTAAGAGGTTTATTCCCAGATGACAACTTTGTAGATCAAAGATTTGTACCAGAGAAAGTTGATAAGAATTATAATAAACAAACTGTCCCACAGACGAATTCCATTAAGATCAAAACCCTTGTTAGAGGTAAATCTACCGAAGTTGATCTGTTTTTAGATTGGTTAGAGAAAGGTGTCTTCCAATCAATTAGATTAAAATTTTTAAAGGCGTTAAGTCTAGGAATATTCATTGATGAAAACGACCCAACAAACCTTCTAGAAAATTACATTTTTACGTTCGATTATAATAATGCCAATGGTATAGGATTGAAAGTTGATACCGATAAATCTGGAACTTTGAGTAATTCATTATTAGATTCAAGAAAAATGGTACAACAACTAATGAGAAGATTTATTATTATTACTCAATCTTTGGAACCATTGCCAGAAAAAAAGTTTTTAACAATGAGATTAATGTTTAACGAAAAGACTCCAAGTGATTATCAACCGACACTATTTAGGGATGCCACATTTGATAAAAGGCCAACATTGAAAATACCCTTAAACACAGATTTAGAAAGTTCCTCTGTTGGAACGTTAGATACAAAACATCATAAATTGAATCTTCATGTCTTATCTGTTATTGATAATGATGATGATGAATCTAATTCCAAAAAGTATATGGATTTTCAAAAATTAGACCCATTCGATCTGGTTGATACTGATTTCTCGAAGCAGTCACCGACAAAAATAAACCAAATTCATACACAAAGCCAAACAACAAATATTTTGGGCGATATTTTAAAGTCTTCTCAACCAAGTATTTTACCGACGCAGGCAGTTGAAATAAATCAATCTCCTGACATAGAGTGTGAGTGTGATCTATTATGCCCAATTACTTCGACAAGAATAAAACAATGTAAGAATTGTAGAAAATTTGTCCATTCCCTTTGTTACGGAAACAAGCCAGGTCCAAAAGTAGACAAATGCATTTCGTGTGTCTATGGACCAATGTTTGATCCTAGTTCATCTGAATTTAAAGATTTGATGATGTTAAGAAAATGCTACAGATTTTTATCCCGTAATAAAGGTTTTCCGCCATCAATTAAAGAATTCACGAACTCAATTATGGAAGAAGGTCAAGTAACCTTAGAAAATATAGAGAGAATTAACTTTTGTATCTCTACACTATCCAGTGACGGTATATTAAATTTTTCGCAATGCAATAAACAGAGAGATGCTTCTCAAGATGGCTCTGCTTCAAAAGCAACTAGGATACAGGGCAATAAAGTATCAATTGATGAAGAAGGTATATTTGTTCCCAAGATTGGTGAACTTTTAAAGGGTAGGGAATACATGTGTTGCTTTATATATAACTCAGACAACTCGCACGCTTGTTACCTAGATGTTTCCCCTGAATCCAAAAGGCAGATTGAAAACTGGATTGATCAAGTTAAGTCTATAAGAAACGACTTTGAACCAAATTCTTCACCTCAAGTCGATTTCAAATCCTTGGCAATCGATGATACTGATACCCAAGATCAAATAGTTATTGGCCAAAAAAGAAAAAATATAAACTTGGATTGTTATGGGGATGAAGAGGATAGTTCAATTAACTTTGATATCTCAAATTCACACATGAACATACAAAACAGTCATACCTTTGAGACACCAAAAAAGATTAGAAAAATTAGTGTAAGTAAAAAAACTTTAAAAAGTGTCTGGTAATCAGTTAATAAATATTTAACATTGTTTGAACATTATCAATACCCGTTAGCTATGTACTGAAATTTAAACCATTATCCTTCTTTGACCGGGTTCGTCCGATTTGTATGGAATAATATAGACACAATGGAGTTGCTTTTTATTGTAGTATGTATGTATCGGTCCGGAATAATACTTTGCTTGATTCGATATTTATATATCTATAAAAATTTATCAATAATAGATGTAATTAATAGTATAAAAAATCATTTAAGAGGAGTAAGAACCAAAAGTCAATCTTCAGTCTCTGTAGTATTTTCAGGTTACAACAGAAGTGCTTTGGATGATCTATACATCTATTTTAATAAGTGATTAGATGTTTAGAAAAAGCCCTATTTTAGGAACGGTGAAAACTGTGTTGGCCTACCGCAGATTTTATGCCTCTGACTCGAGTCAGTTTATAAACAGGGTACAATCACCAATTCAAGCTGGACAAGCTCTTTATGAGACAAGACCGCACTTGCTCAAAGCAGGTGAAGTGACACCAGGAATTACAGCTTTAGAGTATTTTGAGAGAAGAGTTAATCTTGCCAACAGTTTGCCTCAAAGAAGCTGTGCTATTATAGTTGGAAACCAGATCAAATATGCATCAGGTCCAGTATTTTACCCATTTCAACAAAACAATGATCTATATTATCTATCTGGTTGGAATGAACCAGATTCAGTTATGATATTAGAAAAACCTGATGATAATATTGATAATATTGTCTTTCACATGATAGTAAGAGGCAAAGATGCATTTGCTGAAAAATGGGAAGGTTTTAGAACAGGAACTACTGGGGCAAAAGAAATATTTAATGCAGACGAGTCTGTTGATCTATCTCAATTATCGCCTTACATTACAAAAGTCATTAAAAGAAATGATAATATATATTATAATCAATCTCAAAATGAACATGCTAAAAATAGTTCATCTATTTTCAGTACTTTCTTCTCATTACCAGAAGAATCTAAACATACTACAAATATCAACTCAATTTTAAAAATGCATGGTACAGGCAAAAAGATTAAAGAACTGAACAAGGTAATTGCACCAATGAGAAGGATTAAGTCACCAGCTGAACTACGTGTTATGAGACGAGCTGGTCAAATTTCAGGAAGGGCATTCAATCAGGCAATGGCAAAAAGATTCCGTAATGAAAGGACTCTTCATTCTTATTTAGAATATAAATTTATCTCTGGTGGTTGTGATAAACCAGCTTATATTCCGGTTGTAGCCACAGGATCTAATGCTTTATGTATTCATTATACACGGAATAATGATGTAATGTATGATGATGAAATGGTTTTAGTAGATGCATCTGGTGCTTTGGGTGGTTATTGTACTGACATTTCACGTACCTGGCCAGTTAGCGGCAAATTTTCCCAAGCCCAAAAAGATGTATATGAAGCAGTCCTAAATGTTCAAAGAAAATGTATTGAGTTATGCAAAGCATCCAACGGAGTGTCATTACATGACATACATGAAGAAAGTGTAGATTATATGCTTGAAGAACTAAGAAATGCCGGTCTAAACGGTATTAACCGTGCTGATGTAAACGCTCTATACCCTCATTATATCGGTCATAATTTAGGTCTTGATGTCCATGATATTCCAAGCATCACTAGACATGGAACATTGAAACCTGGACAAGTTATAACTATAGAACCTGGTGTCTACATTCCAGATGATTCAAATTACCCTCCTCATTATAGAAATATTGGAATTAGAATCGAGGATGATATTGCCATTGGGACTGACACATATACTAATTTAACGGTGGAAGCTGTAAAGGAAGTTGCTGATCTAGAGAATGTTATGCAAAATGGCGTCACTACTATTGTTGAAGAAGATGTTTTGGAGTCATTGTAATTATCTTAATTTAAAATTAAGCACTATCGCTTATGTAAATACATGCATTTATCAATATTCAATAAAATATACTAATAATAATTAAATTTAATTCTTAATAATTTTTTTTAAAAATAGTTTTTATAAATCTAATTACATATACATTTTTCTACCTATTATATAACATTTTAACCCAACAATAATTCATATACAATAACCAAAATGTTGATACCAATTAAAGGAACTAAAAAAAAAATGATGAAACAAAAGGGATAATGATTGTTAGTAAAGAAATAATAACCAGGGTGAAATAGAGGAAAAGATTTTAAATCAATAATACATACTTCTTAATAATGTCTGTACTGCACCGATCAATTGAACAACTTTTGATTTAGTAGAATTTTCTGATTGGCCAAATACTGGTGCTTCATTAGCAGACCTACCTAAACCAACTTTAGAAACATAAAACAATATAATGAGGTTGTTTTAAAACTGTTAGTATCAGAGCTTATAAAATAAATAACAAATAGAGTTCCAAATCAAAAATGGTGTTTATTAAACATACTTCTACTTAAGAATCTTTCTTCACTAAGCACTGCTATCGCATTTATCAGCAGTAGAATGACATAAAACAATTTACCTAAACCAAATAGCATTGAATCTATAGATAGATAGTTGAATAGCCAGTTTCATGTCAAGACGAAGACTATTTGTTGAATTTATAGTTCGTTTATAAGGTCCCCCATCTTATAATCGTTAATTAGTTCTTACTATTCATAATCTCTAAGAATTTCGAAGTAGTTTCGTACATAAAGATATATATTATATGAGCACGTGACATTTTTGAGAAACATTTGTCTTCTGAGATCATGTGATCATTTTGATATGAATAATGAGGGTACCAATTACCATAGAATTAATATAACTGTGTCACTAAATGTGTGCAGTAGAAACTGCGACAAGAAGATGAGTTGACTGAGATATCAGGACATCATATTCAAGGCATATACTGGATAGGATATTCATATCAATATCAATCACCTCAGAATAATCTTGAATTTTTTCAGTCTTGAATTATTGCACCACAAGCACATTAAAATGGGACTTATCAACTAATTAACTGTATTTAACTAGGTAACTAAATTTTAAATATACTGTTACTTTCAATTATCTTACTAATGAGATCTGTTTTATTAACTTTAACCTCCAAAATAAATAGTAGAAGATGAAGATTTGAAAAGAATAGCTCACTATATGCACGTAATCGTAAATGAATTATCCTGTATATCTTATGAAATAGATAAAGAAACAAATAGCAAATTCATAAGTTTTAACCATGTATACCAATAATTATTATTATCTTGATAAAAATCATTAACATATATATTGGAAAGCTGTTTTTTTTATTGGCTTCCTCGATTCCTCACATTAATGGTTAATGATTATATGTAACATCAATAATCAATAAATAACATTGTGTCATGTGACCAGAGTCTAGTTAATTAATGCAATGGCAATTGGATAATTACATTTAGCAGACTTTATCTGCCTAAACTAAACCTTTTGTTTATCAAATTGTATCTTTTGTGATAATTATCTTTCATTTATTATAAGCGTCTATGACATCATTAAATCAAAGTAGATTTGATTGGTAACCAGAACTTTTCATACATAAATATTAAGACTCTCTGTCCACAATAGAATGTGAACAGGCATATATTTGTAAATGATTTGTATCTACATGTATATAATTAACAATGGAATGGGTTTAAGTGAATACTCCGTTTTTCTAATTTATTATAGTAGTAGAAAAAATTACAGATTTAAAAACATATATAATGGATGACAAAAGATAATACGAACGCCGTATTACTCTTAATCAGCGTTACGACGAGCAGTCTTCTTGGCCAATCTCTTACCAGTACCGAAGATCTTCTTGTCTCTGTTCTTCTTTTGCTTTCTTTGTTGTCTGGAAGCCTTTTCAACCTTTTCAGCTAAACCGTATCTGACTAATCTGTAAGCTGGTTCGAATTTCTTGGCGTCAGCAACAGAGTTGTAGACTAAACCGAAACCAGTGGATTTGGAACCACCGAATTGGGTTCTGAAACCGAAGACAGAAACAGCGTCCTTTTCAGCCTTGTAGATTTCAGCCAATTTTTCACGCAATTCATCCTTAGAGACGTTAGCTCTGTTTGGGTGCAAGACGTCAATGACGAATTGTTTTCTGGACAACAATGGGTTGGTAATGACCTTTCTAGTACGGATGGTGATAGCGTCAGACTATAATAATGATAATGATAAAATTCATTAGAAATTAAATGTTAGTAAACTTTTCATTAAAAAATCTTAAAGCTTGATATAGGGATATTCCCAGGTTAAACGTATTGATTAGACTACTCATTAGACTACATTAGTTTTCAGTAGTTTACTTTTATAATTATATTCAACATCTCATTAGTGATGATTATGAATATATGAATGTGGTCAATAGCATGTTTAACGCTGTTTCATTTTACGATTACAGAGATCAAATTAGCTTTGAAGTTAAAACATAATTATAACCATTCATTCATATATATACATATTTGCATCAGTATCTTATGTTTTGGTATAAGTTGGCTCCACATTTCCAAAAAAACAACTATCCTTATTATTATTATCCATATGCACTTAAGATGGTGTCTTTTTTATAAATCACATTATGAATTATACTGTTCCACATCCCGTTCAATAATACGTATACTACTCATTTAAATCCATCTTGATATTCTCTATTATATTTATTTATTTTATCTAACTGCTGCTTGGAATTTAATCTCTATCTCTTGCTTCGATATATCTGTATTTATTAATGTATAACATACCATTTCTGTTTATCCTTCTGTGGTTGATTTTAGCTAAATGTTACTAAATGTTAAGTATTTGGCCAATTATCTCTAATATACGTTTAAAATCCAAGAAATTTAGCAATTCTGAATAGCTTATTTTCCAGTAACTAATTAGATGATACTGTTCACTAACCCTACAACAAGACAAAAATCGATGATGGTGATAGATGGATGGATGATAATATTGGATAGATAGAGAGATTGGTAAAGAAACCTACTATTCTTGCAATGAACTAACTGATTCTCCTCTCTCTCTCTCTCACGATTTCAATATTACATTGCTTCAATTACAATTTTTCACCTGTCTAAACCAGAAATTAGCCAGCTGATGCTGATGTTAGCGTGCTTGGAAAGATTACGATACAATGCTTCAAAGGAAATTCCCATCAACTCTGTGGGAAAACTCCAGAGAGAACAATATTCAATTCTCCTTCTAAAGACAATTCTCACCAACAGAACACTCTTCCTAAGGTAAAAATTACTGGAAGGACAGATTGCTCTTCCTAGAAGGAACTCTCCAGAAGGGAAAAAGTTTCAAAAATTTCATTGGGCTTCTGTTGTTTCTCTTTTCCGTTGTTGTAGAGTTTGTGCGTCTCCAAATTTTTTTCAGCTTTTTGTAATTTTACGCTTTTTTGTGAATTTTGGAATAAAAAAAATGCTAAAGTCCGTTAATAGACACAAAATTGGAAAAATTGTTCAGTTTTTTGTTTTTGTTGTGTTGGAATGGGAACAGTCTCTTAGATGTATGGGTGTTTGGATATGTTATTTTATTTTGCAGTCACATCTAGATTCTTTTGACGGATTTGTGACAGTAAATGTAAAGGAGAGTTCATTTATGTCATTAATTTATGTATGTACTTTGTATAATCTGTTATATAATGTCTTAAATATTGATGTTTGCCTATTATCAGGAGACTCCAGGTTTAGGATCATGCCAGATACCTTCTGGCCATTTTAATTTAGCAGGATTAGAGTAGTCTCCATGATATTCTTGTGGAATCTTAGTGGACGCTCTGGCAATTCTTAGAAATAGGTCAGTTGTACCGTTATGGAAGTCCATTGAATCTTGTAACATTTGAGAGATTTCTTCTCCTGCAAATATTGTATCTAAGTCAACAGTAGTATTTGTTCCCACATATACTTCGATATCATTTAATAATAAAGAGTAACCGTCGATAGCTACGGCGAACTCTGATTCATACTCTTCATAGGTAGTATTCCAGGATAACATATGAGAGGTACTATTTTCAAAAATAAATGTTGGTGGAATTAAGGAAGCACCGGCCTCATTTCTCAATAATTGAGTATCAGTTTCTTCGATGCTTGCAAAATCCCATCTTGATATTCCTGAAATTACTAGCCCAATTAGTACACCTTGAAACAAGTATGCAGAAGAGCCTCTGGTGGCACATCCAGGCAGTAGTAGAAGACCAATGATATAGTGATGTAATCTAAGGCTTAAGCCTGGGATAAGCGCTAGAAAAACTACACCCCCAATCATGGCAATGTATATTCTGAAATATTTTCTAAATCTTCCTGATTTCCATAACGAATAAACTTGTATGATAGTACTAACTAGAATCAGGCATCCCAGCCCTGTCAGAGCAGTATATGCACCAGCTTGCTCTTTGATACTCTTCCAATATAATCTATCAATTGGCAATCTATCAAAAGTGATATTGTTCAAAGCACCAACCCAAAATGTTGGATACCATAAAATAATCTTAGCCACTGGGGATCCATCTTCTAATGTACGTTTTACTGCAAATTTCCAAACTACATATAACACGAAACATAATGGCAGTAGTCTTTGAAAGCCAATACTAATCAATTCGTATGCAGTTGTGTTATCATGTGGGTCTATCAACAGCGGAGGGTCCATTGAGAGGATGATGGTCCAATGGCTGATTATTGTAACTATCCAATATCCAACTAAACCCTTGGAAAAATAAAATGATATCCCTCCAAATAAAATATTGATACCTGCTATCAAAAACCGAGGATCATAACAACCCGTAGCAACTCCATGTTTGAAATCAGCAAACGTATAGGAACTTGGGAAAAAACTATCAAATGAAATCGAAAAGCCAGTACCATGCTGGCCATTTCTCGAAGGAAAAGAGAGTTGAGAGCCTGACATCTTAACCTTAGCGCAACCGCCCACAAATGGTGAAATGACGCCTGCATGTACACCTGCATTACATGGGAAAGAGTCTGCTCTATAGGGATAAGATAATGTACCTGAATCATCTTTATTATCTGATTTACCTCCACCTATTCTATACCCTTGATATTTTATTCTGTCACCTCCAACAACTGTAGTCGAATATAATGTGCCGCCTTGATCACACAATGCTGGACAACGGATAAAGAATTCCTTGTCTTCAAAGGGACTACAGTTAGCACCATTTAGTCCACAAGCATTATTCTTTCCCCGCCAGTTCCTCATATATGAATTACAAGCTAGATGTACAATTGGTATCTTTTGTTCACCGGTATTTTGATAAAAGTAAGGTCCAATAAACAAATAGGGATGCAAAATAGAATAGAGTATAGTTAGCCATATGGAACAAAATAATGTAAGGAAAATATAATCCCTTGTGTTGCTTGGAAATTCTTTGCCAAAAGACTTAGAAGGGAATTCTTCAATAGCCTTTAACCAGGGCCATCTCATTGGGAATGATGGTGGTTCATCTTTTGGTTCAATTGGACCATTCCAAACCCTATGAAAAAATCTCTTTATAGAATTCCCCTCTTTTAACATTTCCCATTCTTCCCTATGATCCTCCCCATCAACTATCGTCACTCCTGCTGATGTCAATTCAGAAAGGGGAATTGATGAGCTAAATTCATTTTCAGTATAGGTAGCATCAAAACTCTTTTGATCTGTATCTGATTTCGAATTATTCATTGCACTCTCCTATATAGGTAACTTGCCATTAAATTTGCAAACTAGAATATGCTAGCTTTGGCATTAGGTTTGTATATCTTGTATATATATAAAGCTTACTAATCTTCCCTTTTAGTTCATCTTCTTGTTATAGATGATACATTTTTCATAGTAGTACATTCTATCGCAATGTTTCGGGTTATAATCAAGTTACGTGATAATGAAAAACTAAGGCCTTGGCAAAAATCGATGGTGACAGTAATTGAATTATTTGAAACTCAAGATTGATTAAAAATGAATTAGATATTCAAATTATATATTTGTTTGATGGTAGAATACTAATTATTTATTTATGTTTTATGTAAGACCATTATAAAAACCCTTTTAAATATTTTGTGAAAAAACTATGCATAGATATTAAGTAAGAAAAAAGAATAATTTCATTTAGTGAGATGTATCAAATATTAACCAGAGCACATTTCACAGGCTTCTGGGTTGTCGATTGCGCATGCTATGACTTTTGAGTTGTAAATGTCAAATTCGGTTGACTCTTCAATTGTAGTTTCATTAGAAGTTACCTCATGTGGGATGCTAATAGATCTAGATTCGACTGGGGTGGCAGGAATACTGTCTTCTATCTTTAATGAGTTGATGTCTTCAGAAATAGCAGTATCAGTTGATAAAGCTGGAGAAGGATCTCTTTCTGGTTCGGCTGCTTCAATGACATCGGATGGTTCGAAGCTTCCATCTTCTGATATATTTAATTTACGTGGAACATAATGAGGGCGGTTCAAGTTGGCGATATCTGCAACTGATTCACCTGCCTTTTCTGCAACCTTCTTATCGATGGTGAATTGAATAGCTGCGGAAGCAGCTTGAGTTCTCAAGTAGTACATACCAGTCTTCAAACCCTTCTTCCAACCGTAAAAGTGCATACTTGTCAATTTACCCATAGTAGGAGCACGAATATGAATGTTCATAGAATGGGACTGATCAATGAAAGCAGAACGGTCTGCTGACATATCAATAATAGTTTTCTGTGAAATTTCCCAAACAGTTTTGTATAAATCTTTTAGTTCTTGTGGAACATTTGGTAAGTTTTGAATAGAACCATTGTCAGTAATCAAATGTTGTTTCATAGATTCATTCCAAATACCCAAGTCGACTAAATCACGTAATAAGTATGGGTTGACAATTTGGAACTCGCCAGACAACACACGACGTTGGTACATATTGGAAGTAAATGGTTCGAAACATTCGTTGTAGCCTAAAATTTGAGAAGTAGAAGCAGTTGGCATTGGAGCCATCACTAAAGAATTTCTGATACCATGAGCAATGATGTTAGATTTCAATGTGTCCCAGTCCCACAAATCAGTTGGTTTCCTATTCCACATGTCAAATTGTAGAATACCTTCAGATGCTGGGGAACCCTTAAAAGTTTGGTATGCGCCTTCTTCTTGAGCTAATTCACAAGAGGCTTCCAAAGCACCGTGATATAGAGTTTCGAAAATATGGATGTTTAATTCTTTAGCTTCCTTAGATTCAAATGGAATACGCAACAACATGAAAGCGTCAGCCAAACCTTGGACACCTAAAGCAATTGGTCTGTGTCTGAAGTTAGAATTCTTTGCCTCTTGAACAGGGTAGTAGTTACGGTCAATGACTCTGTTCAAGTTACGTGTGACAACCTTAGCAATGTCATGCAATTTTTTGAAGTTGTAAAATGATTGCTTTTCATCCTTAGATTTTTCGATAAATGCTGGTAAAGCAATTGAAGCCAAATTACAAACAGCGGTTTCATCTGGTGCTGAATATTCGACGATCTCACAACATAAGTTAGATGATTTGATAGTACCCAAGTTTCTTTGATTAGATTTCAAGTTACAAGCATCTTTATATAACATGAATGGGGTACCGGTTTCAGTTTGAGCTTCTAAGATGGAATACCATAATTTTTGAGCCTTGATAGTTTTCTTACCACGTCCTTCTTCAACATAACGGTTGTAAAGAGCCTCGAATTCTTCGCCGTAAACTTCGTCTAAACCCGGAGCTTCACTTGGGGAGAACAAAGTCCAGTCAGCATTTTCTTCAACACGTTTCATGAATAAATCTGGGATCCATAAAGCTGGGAAAAGATCTCTTGCACGAATTTCTTCTTTACCATGATTTTTTCTAATATCGATGAAATCGAAGATATCAGCATGCCATGGTTCCAAATATAATGCCATGGCACCTGGTCTTTTGTTACCACCTTGATCGACATAACGGGCGGTATTATTGAAGACACGAATCATTGGGATTAAACCATTAGAAGTACCATTAGTACCAGCAATGTAAGAACCGGTAGCACGGATATTGTGAATGTGTAAACCAATACCACCAGCAGTTTTAGAAATCATAGCACATTCTTTCAAAGTATCATAAATACCTTCAATAGAATCATCTTTCATTGCAACTAAGAAACATGAAGACATTTGAGGACGTGGAGTACCAGCATTGAATAAGGTAGGTGAGGCATGAGTAAAATATCTTTGTGACATTAAGTTGTAAGATTCAATAGCAGCTTTGATATCATTACCATGAATACCAATAGCGACTCTCATGACCATGTGTTGAGGACGTTCGGCTACTTTACCTTTCATTCTTAACAAATAAGAACGTTCCAAAGTTTTGAAACCAAAATAGTTGTAGTTGAAATCTCTATCATATACTATTGCAGAATTCAATTCATCCTTATTAGCCATAACAGTATCATAAACATCCTTTGATATTAGTGGAGCAGGTTTATTGTTTTCAGGGTTAACATAATGATGTAATTCATCTATAACTTTCGAAAAAACCTTGGTGGTTTGCTTGTGTAAATTCGAAACAGCTAGTCTAGCTGCCAAAACCGCATAATCTGGATGGACAGTAGTCATATAAGCAGCAGTTTCAGCAGCTAAATTATCCAATTCATAAGTGGTAACACCTTCATAGACACCAGTGATAATACGTTGAGTGACTTTAACAGGATCTATATGGTTTGGATCTAGCCCATAACAAAGACGAGAAATACGAGCAGTAATTTTATCGAACCTTACAGGTTCTTCACGACCATCTCTCTTGATAACATACATTATTAATTAGAATTAATAAAGTGACGAAAAAAAAAATCTTTAAAGATGTAAGCAATAAAAAAAACTTAAAAATTCTTCTTATTCCCTTGTTTCACCCAAAAAGACTGTTCTAGTTAGGTTGCACAACTTCTTCCAATACACAAAATAAGTTATAAAACAAGATTTAAATCGTCAGAACTCAGTTAACATTTCAACTCTCTTCTTATATACCATTCATTCCATCCATTAATGAGGATTTATTTGATGCAACACGTAAAAAAATAAAATAAAATAACACGAAAACACGAAACCATTAAACGAATTAATTCATGGTGAAACGCGTAAACATAAACAAACATAAAACAACAACAGTTCGATTCAACGATCGATCTTTACTGAGAGGATATTCTCTTCGGTGAGTATGGTTCCAGGGTGGTTGTAATTAGCATTCATAACCTTCCTTTCCTGCAGTGAGTGTTCCTTTCAAGATAAGATCATTAGTTGCATAAAGATTGATGAGGTTAGTTCAACACTAGATACCTAGCACCTCAATTGGGATAGCCTAGTGAAGCATTCAATCATGAAGAGGAAATGATATTAGTTATTTGTAAGAAGGAGAACACCGTGATGATGTGATTGGAATTTGTAATCATAACTTGAGAGAGGGTTTGTTCTGTTTTTTGAGTTACCAATTAATTACTAATTAAGTAAATTGCATTAGGATAAATATAAACAAAGTTTACAGGGTAATGTTTACTATTTACAAATTACATGATCTATACGATCCATTATGTTGTATCTGCATTCCAGTTTGACAATCGTGATATCTCATTATCTCACTATTATTGTATGATTAAGTTGTATTCTGTCTCTCTCCTCTCCCTCTTATTTAAAGCTCATCGATGCTTTTTTCAGTAGTGAAAAAAGTGAAAAAAGTGAAAAATTAACAGTTGATATAATACAAAATAATATAATAGAGTTTGAATTTGGGTCTTAATGGATAGAGATTGGTTGTTGAAAGTGGTGGTTCCGTTGAGAGATTCGAGTCTTACATCTTTAGAAAGAGCAAGATGGAAGATACCTCTAAGTTAAACACTTCAAAATTGGGTACAAAACAGTATTGGGATGATTTTTATTCTTTAGAGAGAGAAAATTTCAAAGAGAACCCAGAGGATGTTGGTGAATGTTGGTTTAATGATAGTGATGCAGAGATGCGAATGGTTGATTTCTTAAACGATAATATTGGATCTTATAACATTAAATCAGATTCTTCTATTATTGATTTAGGCACTGGTAATGGGCATTTATTATTTGAACTATTCGAAAATGATTTTGATGGATCAATGCTAGGTGTCGATTATTCTGAACAAAGTGTTAACTTTGCAACTGAAATTGCAAAAAATAAAGGATATAATGATAGTATTAAATTTGAACAAGCGGATATTTTTCAAAACAATTGGAATCCTGGTAAATTTGACATCGTCTTGGATAAAGGTACTTTAGATGCAATTGCCTTAAGTGGTATTAAATTTGATGACGGCAAGACTATTGTCGATATATATTCTAAAGTTATTGAAAAATTGTTAGATAAAGACGGGGTTTTCTTGATTACTTCTTGCAATTTTACAGAAGATGAATTGACAAAAATAATTCAAGGTGATTCATTGAAAAAATGGGATATTGTTAAATATCCAGTTTTTGAATTTGGTGGTGTGAAAGGTACAACTGTTTGTACAGTTGCATTTGTTAAACAATAATTAATTAAATAATGTATCATAGAAATAACTTAATAGATTAAAAATAATTAGACTTACATTAATGGACGGGTTAATATTTATATATATGTATGTATTTATTTAGTATTTATACATATCCTTAATTTCCTTTTTTTCTCTTTTGCTTTTACATAAAAATGATGATAATTCCTCGATATGAATTGGATTATATCACCAGAAGGTGTTTGAATTCATTTTATACTGTTCTTCTGTCTGATAAATAATGCACAACTGGATTAACACCTGCTTCTTGTGTCAATTTTTCAAACCAAGAAAGAAGAATACCACCTTGTTTTTGGCCTTCTGGAACAGACATACCTTTGTAAAGATACTTGATCAACACATCATGCTGCTTAGGAGACAATTGCTTTATAATATTGCTAATATCAGCTTGTCTAGTTTGACCTAAAGCCTCTAGAACCGCTTGCAAATATTGAGCTTTTGTACTATCATCAGCACCATATGGTGGATCAGAGGTGGCCAATTGAATAGCAGAAATCATATCACCACTGGTAGACATGGAACGTATTTGCTGAATCTTTGGTTGCAACTCTTGTAGTGTAACTTGAGCTTGATTTGGTGGTATCAAATCAGCAGCAGTTAATCTACCACTTTCTGGATCAAAAGCATCAATATCAATTCTTCTCCAATCTTCCATCTTATTTAAAACTAGCTCTGGTCGTCAATGGCCTTCTGAACAGTCCCCAAACCAATAATTATGAAGTTCTTTAACAATGGTTAAGTCCCTTTTCATAGGGGCAGTTTCTTAAACTTTAACAAATTTCAAACTTTAAAAGGAGCCTTCCTTCATTAGATCCGGGTAACATTTTTTTCTTTCCCAGACTCATCAAATATAAGAGCATGTCAGAGTAACAAGATCAGTTCTTAGCAATACTGGTTTAATATATTCGATGAGGTAGCATTTATATAATCTGTTAATTGATCATATATAATTGTTCAGGATAGTGGTCAATCCACTTTTTCCTAATTTTAGCTTGTATGGTTCATCTAATTTTTGTTCTATTAAATGATAGAAGTATATATATATATATATGCAAATTTTATGTACGAGAAGGTAACTATCGATACCAGTGATTGATAGAATATGAAAATTAACAAGTGGCTAGTGTAATACTAAGTATTATCTTTTTTTTTTGACTTTTTTTGCCTTTTTCTCTTGTTATATTATATTATATCATATGTTTGGGGTGACAGTATTATACTCATTGTGTGTGGAGTCCAAATAACCAGATTGGTAATTACTGATGAAATTTTTTACAAGTTTTGAAATAGTCTCTAAATCTTTAATACCATACCAAAACAATATTTTATCATTCATTAAATATGATCCATCGGATTTGTTAAAATGCCAAGGGATATTTGGATCATCCTCTTGAACATACCATTGTAACGATGAGAAGTCGTTTCTAATATTATTGAAAATATTGTCAGATACATTATTTAACCAATGTGAATCAGAACAAATAAACTTGTCTAACATTGGTACATCTCCATTTTCTTTGACAACTGCCAGTGCTTCTAATGGTTCATCCGAATATGAAGTAAATTTACTGCTCTCTAAAGATTTCAAATAAGATGCAGCACTTTGTCTACCAGAAAATATTTCATCAGATTTTTGCAGTAGATGTCTTACACCATCTATAGATGGGAATTCGTTCAAGGAATTTCTCCTGATAATTTTATACCCTCTTCTAATCATTGTACCAGCACCGGAATCGGTAAACAATTCCTTTTGCAGGTCTTGGACATTGATAATTGCGACAGATGATGTTCTTGGCAAAAATTCCAATAAATTTTTAATCTGTTCAATCTTCAGTTTAGTACCATATTTAAACCAGTCTTTCTTTAATAATTCTTCATAATCTTGATCAAGGTTTATCATAGATATCTTTTCCTTTGTGTCGCCATTGATAATACCACCCTTTTCGTTTAAATAAACGATCTTCAATGGTTCAAATACTCTTGCCAATTCCCCAGCTGCTACATCAGCGTTAACATTCAATATTTGACCAGCTTTGGTCTCCGCTAAAGAAGTTAGAATCGGTAATGCACCAGCTTCAATAGAGGCTTCAATTGGTCTTCTGGTAATATCTGTGATATGGCCCACTAACTTATACTTTTCATAATCTAAGTAATCTGCTGTAAAAACTCCAGATGTGATAGGTCTTGCACGAATACCAAGCTGTTCTAAGGCATTAACCAATTTCAAATTTTGTTCAAGAAAACAATTTCTAACAATTGACATAGTACGTTCGTCAGTAACCCTAATTCCATCGATATAATCTGGGACAATTCCATCTTTGCCTAAGCGTTCGTTAACTTGGGGACCAGAACCATGGATTACGATTGGATATAAACCTAAGTGATATAAAAATGCCAAACTTGATGCTAATTCTTTTAAATTATCGCCTATAATTGCACCACCAACTTTAATCACAGCAAATTGTTGTTGAGAAACAGAAGTGAAATATTGTAGGTATTGATTGATCTCCCTTTTGGAGCTAATATTGTTCAATAACTGAATTACAGTAGACCTTGTAGCAGATATCTCACCAGTCTTGGTTGTGTATGTAGCTGTGCTCTTTGTATTTGGCAATAATGTATAGTTAATTGGGCACAATTGGTTAGATAACACGTATCTGCAACCTCTAAGAAGCTTTTTAGCTCCAAAAGAAGTATAAATCCTATTCATCAACTATTCAAAATGAAATCAAGTTCAAAAATTTATTGACAATCCTTTTAGTCTCCTATTGTTTGGTTTTAAAAATAAAAACAAAACTTTCAGGACAATTATATATCTCAGTAACTTGAGAATCAGATTCTACCTTCTCCGATCTCCTTAGAAACATTTTCTTAATAATAATACTTGTTTTAAAACTGTTTCTCTGTTCCTCATCTCATCGATTTTTTTAATAATTTTTCAAAATATGAATTGGCGGTGTGATTGATATCTTGAAAATTTAAAGTGTCAGACATACTAAATAACAAGATTATTAATGAAATGATGATATTAAATTAAATATTATATTATATTTGTATATGAAATGATAATGTTATGACGAGTTTATAAAGAGGGAACTAATCTGATATTAGGTTACTAGTTTGTTTGTTTTTTTTCTAACTGTTGTGATCGTGGATGGAAAGAAATAAAGGGAAATTTTTTTTTTATTAAAAATGAATAAATTATTCTTGCTGAAATAATGGAGATTTAAATTAGTTTCCTGCAGTAGTGACCCTTCTACCATTTATCAATTGGTTTAAAAAGTCAGTTGAATTTGAGGCTGGGTTAGCTTCACTTGCCTGTTGTTGAGGAGGTTGTTGCATTGGCATATGTTGTTGAGGTGCAAACATACCTGGTGGAGGTGGAGGTGTATTAACATTTAATTGTGTTTGACCTAATTGTTGAGGATGGTGCTGTTGTTGTTGGTGATGATGTTGTTGTTGTTGTTGTTGCTGCTGCTGTTGCTGTTGTTGTTGTTGCTGTTGCTGTTGCTGTTGCTGTTGCTGCTGCTGTTGTTGTTGTTGCTGTTGTTGTTGCTGTTGTTGTTGCTGTTGTTGTTGTTGTTGCTGTTGCTGTTGTAACTGTTGTAATTGTTGATATTGTAAGATTGGAGTTCCAACAGAAACATTTGGTTGTACTATTGGGATGTTAGCATTTTGGAAAAAATTCAAAACAGAGTTATTATTATCTACAGGCTTGATAGTTAAAATATCGATTAACTTTTTAGCTAAAATATTCTCACTTTTATCAGACACTTCAATATTGTCCCAAGAAAATAATGATGGGTATGCATTGTACTTTTCATCTGAAATAATATTAGATCTTAACTTGATATTATGGTTCTTGTAATTAGATAAAAATTGTAACTTTTCGTCTAAAAACTTGACAGCCGTTCCTAAAGAATCATATGGATCGACATATACTTTTTCTGTTGAATTCTTTTTCTTACTGCCACCGCTGCTTGGTTGCATATTAATAGACTCATTAGTATTAGTTTGACTTAAGGCATCACTTAATGTTGGTAAGTTAGCAGAACTTGATGGTTTGGACAAATTCAAGGTAATAGGAGTAGATGACTGGGTAATGCCCCATGGATTTGAACCTGATCTTGCAATAGCAGGGGTAAGAATTGGAGTATTGGCAGTTGATGGTGTATCATGGTGTAGTTGAGCCTTAATTGGTGCTGGTGAAGGCGTGGCTGAAGTAGAGATAGACCCAGAGTTCAAGTTGTTTGTAGAAGAGGTAGAAGTCAATGGGGCATTCTTGAAATACACATTGGTATTTGAAGTTGAAACGCTTGAATTCAAAGCAGACATTTGCTTTTCCCTCTTATTGAAAGAATCAGCTTCTTCTCCAGGTTCATGTAAAAACATACAATTTGGATTTTGACATGCAGAACCCCTTAAATAAGAGGAACAGTATTTAGTTGTACCATAAGCTGCTTTTATTAAACGTCCATCCATATAGGTACCATCAACTTGGGCAATACATCTTGCAGCATCCTCTTTTTTGGAGAAGGTTATATAGACACCATAGCCAGCAGAATGATGATGATTATAGTGTTCATTTGAAGAATTTGAATGTGGAGTCTTTTTGTTTACTACAATTTTATTAATTTTACCATATTGGCCGAAATATTTATCAGATTTTAATAGAGCTGCTACTTCTTCATATGAAACTGGTGGATTAATACCAACAACATAAACTAAATTTTTTTGTATAACTCTCATACCTGCTAAATGTTTTCTATTAGCATTTTCACTTTCTTTACGTTCTTTTTCTCTCTGTTTCTTCTCCCATTCTTTTCTTGCCAATTTTTCCCTTTCTAATTTTAATTCATCTGATGATAAAATTACATACTCGACACTTTCATCGTCATATTTACGACGACAAGCAGGACATCTACCATTTAATTCCTCATTCTGTCTAATATTATTATAACAGAATTGACAAATTTGATAGCCACATGGACATGGTTTAAATTTTTTGTCTGATATATCTAGTGGCTCTAAACATAGGGGACAATAGTCTTCTTCGCTATCTGATAAAAAGGTCATATCGTAATTACTTAATGCCTTTTGGATGGCCACCATATTTTCTTGTAAATGAGGGTTTGCAGTCATTTTGTTGTTTTTAAAAAGAAAATGATAATAGTTGTGATGATAAAAGTTAAGTTTAACCGAAATCTATTGATGTCAATGTGTTATAATTGAAGATATATTAAAGAGTAAAATAGAAAAGAAGTATTTAAAAAATCTATTTTCCTATTGTTTCCCTTTCGTCTTGATAAAGTAAAAATCAACCTAGAAGAAAAGTTGCTGTTATTGTTGTTGTTGTTTTTTGTTGAAATATCTCAAATATATACAGTCTGATCGCTTCTAAAGGATAAGTTAACCGTTTGAAAAGGATGCTCTTCAAAAAACCTTCTTGGTAAGACGGTATTAGTTATCTGATAACTTTACTTCAAATTCTATTATTGATAGCTAAATGTTACATTTTCAAAAAACGATGAAAGGTTTTCAGGTTTCCAAGAAGAAAAAAATATTATTTTGGTCACGTGTTTATCATTTATTACGTGTATATGTGTTTATTAAGAGAGGATAGTGATTCGAAAGATGACGGCAATAGCAAAGGGTATATCTGGCACCAACAGCAGAAAGTATAAGGGCCAGTTGAGCACTGATAAGTAACATTTATTCAGTCATGTATATATATGTGTGTGTATACGGGTGTATACGGGTGTATATTGAATATTGTGAATTCACATTGGTTTCTTTGCATTCTAACTATATATATGGCCATGCTACAGGATTATAAGAATTTGAATTAACGATATATTAGACACATTTTCGTTTTATTGTTTATTTACCCTAAGGTTGGATTAAATGAGTAGAGTACGTAGCTTAGTAAAGGCATTTATTTCCTCCCACTTTTAACCAATTCATAATATTAAATGTTTACTTTGAACAAGTTGAGATCCAACAGGTCCCTTAAACAGGCGGACTAAAAACAATTAAGTTAAAAAATTCTGACAAAACATTAAAATTCATTACAGTCATAAAACATAAATATATATCGTTAAATATATATATAAAAATTACATAGACATAAGCAAGAGACTGTGCAAAATCATTAAAAGCATACATTTTTAGATACAAAAAAGGTTGCAAATAAAAAAAATGATTTTAATGATTAAATCACAGATTCTTCAGTCAATGGAACGGTCTTGTAGTCTAGGTCGACCATAGCATCATCATGTTTACAGGTAACACTGATGGAAATTCTAAATTTTCTATCATGGAATTCACCAGTGTCACCATAGTTCCATACAATTTTTTCAAAGTCTTCATCCTTCGACTTGTCCTTGAACTTCAAGTCAGGCAACTGCAAGGCTTCCTTGATTTCCTTCAACAAGTGCTTTTCGACGTGTTGGTGCAAGTGTCTGACGTACTTCTTGGAATGAGAGTTTGCGGTGTCCTTGATCTTTTCAGGGTCATCGTGGGCCTCATGCAGAACAAATGGCGGGTAGTACTTCAATTGGCAATGAACATTATCGAAATCATCGTCATCTTCGGTTTCATGTTTTAGGAAGTCTTCAAATTGAGCCAAGTCTTCAAAGACCTTTAGTGTTTCACCTGATTTGGTTGTGATGGTGGCTACCTTTGGCTTCTTATCCTTCTTTGTCATTTTTTAAATTAGGTGTTGTAGTGCTTTTTTTTTAAAACTTGATGGGTGGTTAGCGTATGCTATAGAATAGTATAATCCGACGTTATTAATAAAACTTAGTCTGTAGAGTTGACCAGTCCTTGTCAATCAATGTAGATTAGTGGTGTATTTTATGAACAGTATAAGAATAAATATAGAAAGTATAAGATAGAATAAAAGAAGATAGTGTGAACAAGAGTTTCAAATAAAACACAAAATATAACCACTATTTATACCTTTTTGCTTTTAAAAAAAACAAACAAACATACAAACAAAACAAAACAGAATAGAATAGAATACACTTATAATAAAACTATACAACCAAGTCAAACGTGTATACCTTTATTTCTCCCTTGTCGGATTGGTATTCGGAGAGTGGAACTAGCCAACCAGACCCCCCCCAAAATAATAAAATCAATACGTCGTCTAATAGGTATTGCTGGTTGTTGCAAGGTAGTTAAGTTAAAGTTCAACAGAAACGAAACGAAACGAAACAAAACAAAACTGGATTCAATAAAATAAGAATCAAGAATCAGGTTTTGGTCGTATAAACTTAAAACCAAAATGAGTTTTGAAATAAGCAAATATAATTCATCAACATAAGTTATTAGGAAGAAAGTAATAACAGAATAGGCCTTTTCTGAACCAGTTAAGAGTCTAAGATAGAATGAAATGACACTGTTGCTTTCTTTTAACTCAACTGTTCCTCCATCCCTTGCCCTTGCCCTCGTCCTGCCTTCCCCCTAAAAGCCAAACATTACACAACAGCTAGACACAAATTATGAGCAACCAGTTTGTAATATAGTCACCAGACAAGGTTCCAGTATGTGGAGATAGATACTAAGAGAAGTACATCAAATGCGTTCGGTTCGGTTCGGTTTGATGTCTGCTGCCAATACATTAATTCATATTCATACTCATATCCATATCCAGATAGTGTGTGTAGTTTTAAGCAACAAGACGGGTGGGAAACAAGAAGATGCTGTGAAACACGGTCACCCCACACTTAAATATGCAAGGACTCCCACCAACCCAGCAGAGAGGCAGCAACAAGCAAGGTATTCTGTTCTGTTAACTAAAAAAGTAAAAAGAGGATGCCCTTTGTGAGTTAAAGCCTGTTTCTTGGTCGTTCGTTTATTTTGTTTTGTTTTGGCTGTGTTGTCCTTGTAACGAACGGGCTGTCTGTCTGTCTCTTCGAACCGAACCAAACACAAACGCAGTGCGGTGCGGTGCAGTGGGCTGCTCTCTTCCGTGGTCAGCCTGGCAAATAGAACTGGAAGGTGGAACTGACCCCAGGTTTTGCAGCCATTGGAAGGAGAATATGTTTTGTGATTGGTACACTGGGAGAGATAGAGAAGTTGTATGATCTGGGGACCAGGGGGGGGGGGGGAGAGAGAGAGTATGCTATAAGAAACAGCTATGATTGGTTCAATTTAAAGGTCACCAGATTCTGTAATGCATCTGAAACGTGAATATTGTATTATGTACGTGACTC